TCTTTCCGATGAATTGGCAAAGACCATGGCTCTTTTGGCGGACGTCGCACTAGACTGTAGTACAATCTAACGTTCGACTGGTGTATTCGCCATTTTATCCGAGAATCATCTTATTTGACTAAAATTTGTGACAATTTTGAAATATTACAATTGGTATTTATCCCAATTCCACGTAAAAAACATGTTATCATTTGTTTATAAAATGGTTGATTAGATTTGTTCATTTTGAAACACCAATTTTATTCAACCATATTATAAAAAAGATAAAAGAACGTCGGCCATGTTGGAGGAATGATCAATAGATACCAATGAGAATTTTTTTATARTTATTGMAGGTTCTCCATTGGCAAGATGGCCGCTGATGCACTGAAAACGAAGAATACGTCTGTTGAYATCCATTTGAAATTCTCTTTATTTCGACAGTTTTTGCGCATGCATAATATATGTATGTTTTTCATGTAATCGTTTAAAAGATCTAAAGCAAAGGCATTTCGATTCTGGCAACAAAAAAACTTAGAGGAGCTAGGAATGAATGAATAAAGTGATAATAATAATAATAAAATAAGAAAAAATAAGGATTTTGGGATCAAGTATCATATGTTATTAACATGTAAAAGCTTTCATTTGATTTTAAATGTCGGTTTTGTGATATTCCCATGTCGGTTCACGTGTCAGGGGAACCCCGTGCAGTCCACTATCTATCCTCAAAAAAAAAAAAAAAAAAAAAAAAAAAAAAAAAAAAAACCTAAGAAAATGAATTTATCTCAGTTATATTGATGAAATTGGCAGGAATGGCGGAATTTGTAGTCAGAATTAGAACGAAGTAGACAAAGTAGTGATTAGCTGCACTAAGTGCTGACGGCTGACCACACGGACACCAGACATAGGTGAAGTCTCTTGACACGTGTTTTAACCGGCGCGTGTTACGTTTTATTTATGTGAATCTAGTTCACGTTTGACATATCTAATAAGGGGGAAAAAAGGAACAACGAAGCGGAAAGAARACTCATTTTTTGTTCAGTTTTTAACCGGTGTCAAGTGCACCAACATGTCCCTTAACAAAAAAATATAATAAAAAAAGTGAAAAAAGGAAGAAAAAGGGGCAAAATTWGAGAAGACAAAAATGAAATATAATGTTCATTTAGTTGTTTTTCTTTTCTTTCGTTTTGTTTTTTACTGATGCACAGTTTGAACGTAGTGTTTTGGGCTATGTCCACAACTCAGTTATGATCGCGTCTGTCAAACTTGGATCAAAAATATTGACTACAGTAATTATTGAGACTATTTGTTTGATATTATTCAAGAAATTCCAAACTCCGCTCAAGGTCAAGATTCTAGAGAAAAAAAAAAACAAGTATGCCTCTTCGGTCAGTGTGTCATCAGTAAAATGTGTGTTAAAGAGCCAACGTTCAGCCTTATTTTTAGACTGATTGCGCGATAAAATGTATCATTTAAAATCTTATCTAACTGAGCCCATTTTCTAATTTTATCGGAATGTTTAATTTTTTCCAAATCTTGATCATAATCATATGTCGGGCTTCCTGTGTATGTCAGTAACCGGAAACATAAGTAGCCTCGCCAGTTCTATATTAAGTTCAGTCACGTTTTTGAGGTTCAAAACAATTCTATTTCCGCAAACGTGAGCTGAACATATAGGCATGGAGATCAAGTAGTGAGTTTAATTTATCATATTTACTC